GTCATTTTCAGGACTTTCGTCCCGGATTCAGCTTTTGGCACATATGCCATGTTGACCGCCATGGTCATTTTACCCTAAAACAGTTGAGATTACCTGTGCTAAATGAAACGCATACAAACTCATATACAGGTCCTAGACTACATGCATATACATAGATCTTCCGTTGTTTTTCCACATACCGGTATCTACTCCAGTCATAAGTGTGATTTATTATGCTATAGTGAAGCATACGCATGCAACGATCAGTTATCTAAGTCTGAAGTTACAGTGGTTCACTCCAAAACCATGCATCATTAGTTTTGACTATGAACAGGAAATTTTCTGAGTAAAACAAAATAAATTACAGAAATTAGAGAAAAGCAAAAACTTATAATTTGCTTCAGTATCTTACATCTTTGGTACCATGATCCAACTGATTGATTTTGCATAGTCAGGCATGACTCGCATGAGTCAGCATGTTAAAATTTGTCTTCTGAACAGGATTATTGCAATTTACATGCAGCCACTATAGTCGCAAATAACAGTACTGTATAAACAGCCATTTTTGAGTTTAATTAATCATACAACGCTAAGCTATGTTATCCAATATCAAGGGAAAGGGATCTATCCCCAAGCCACACTGTGGATGTGTCTAGATTTATTCATTATATTCAAATATATATGATTAATCGATTGTTGATCAGTTAATTGATTACGATAATGAACCAATTGGATTAGCTCTAGTCCCATTAATTTAGATGGGTACAACGTTGGAGATGAAGTCATTCACAAAGAAAAAAAATTAAATTTTCATTAATGGGTTTTTGAATGTAAAAACTGAACTCTTGCCATTATTGGTTATTATAGATTTCCCATGTGGTAAATTGGTAAAAACCATGATGTTTAAATTAAACAAGGTTTTTTTACCATGGTTCATTTACATAAACTTTAGCTTTGATTTTCTCGGCTTAGAAAACGTTTATTTTTAAACTTACTTCGCTAATGAACATCAGATGGGCCGTTTTTTAAGCCATTTAAAACACTCGCAGTCCGTTTATACCCGATAAAGCACTCCTGCTCATGTTTTAAATAGTACTTCAAAAACCATTAATGGATGTTTAAAGTTTTTCCCGTGATATTACTTAACCCTGCCAAGATATTATATTGATTTAGCTTCTCATGAGTGGGTGAAGAGTGAAATATTGTATATGACAAAACAATCTTGAATTTTTGTTTCTGATGTTATGCACTCAGGTGAAGATATATGTTTGTGATCTTGTTTCTGAGTGTTTTCTCTGTGGGGGAGGCAACCTCGCAAGCCAGGGTCTTTTACCTGCGCTCGGGCTACGGCGAAGACCCTGGTTCCCTCTGGTCACGTGAACCCTCAGATTTTAGGGGTAATTCGAATTGCCGCCTCTTTGTCACTTAGGGAGGAGTGGTAGGGGGAATTCAAGAGCGAAAACGAAAGCATTTATAACTATGCTTATGGAAAACACAGCCATTTACGCTCTGTATTAACCCATATTTTGGCTTTTGTCAGTTTTTGTGTTATCTTTTATGAAATATGTCACCGCTTGAAAGCTTTTTATGACACCTATTTGATATAATTTGCATGGTTGGAGGTCTGTTTTACACCTTGAAGTGGAGCCGTTTATTTATCAACGCAAAGAAAATAAAGGTCGAATGCACACTTATGTAAAGTCAAGATGATTTATCCGAAATCCGCTTTGTTTTCGGAATGCAAGTTTCACCTTTGTGACAAGAAGTATTGCAAAAACCTATTCTTAGAGCTAGCGAAATAAAAATAGTGAATTGTGGAACTCTTGCGTGAGATGACCGATGACCGATGACGGACTTTCCGATCTTTCTAAATTAACATTAAATTAAAAGAATGGGAGCAAAAAAAACACCCAAGGCCAAGTCAATCGAATGTTTAATATTAAAGTATAGCGACTGGAAGGATATTTGCAGAAATGATAAACAACTTCGACATAGCTGTAGGATTTAAGTCAAGAAGGCATCCTCTCACAAGCACAAAACTTCGAAGAAAATGTTATTTTATCGCTGATCTCTTGGAATTGAAACCATTTGCAATCAACAATATATGATTATTTTCATGAAGGTTTCTTCACATATATATCATCAGATACATTAGCAACATTAAAAAATGCTGCATTTCATGACTACAGTAGCTATTTTAAACAAACACAAGAGGATCATTCACCAAGCACGTACCAGTGGACACATCAGAAGATGAAGAGGAATTATGACTGTGAATACATGTAACACTTGCATGAATAAACAATTTGTATGGCTGTAGCACAGGCTACCAAGACTACCCCAGCTTGAAAGGATTACAGTGAATGCAAAATTTGCACTTGTCCTATACAAGCGTATTATTCCAATTAAGGTTACTGTGACACAGACAATAGTTAAATGTACAATTGAACGCTAAAAAATGATCAGCCTATTTTAACACATCAACAACCTCATGGCCATGGGAATAGCAATAGTTCCATACATTCAAGGTGTCACAGAACCAATCAAGAGAATCTTAAGTAATTGTAATATTAAGGTTGCCTTAAAACCCTATTTGACTTTAGGCCATATTTTCGCAAAGCCAAAAGATCCTGTTAAAGCAAATCAGAAAACTGATGCTGTATATTCTATACCATGTGGTGACTGCGAGAAAGAGTATTTGGGTCAGTCTAAACGCCAGTTTGGTACACGGCTAAAAGAACATCAAAAGGCTGTTTCAACTTTAGACAAGGGAAAATCAGCTTTAGCAGAACATGTGTGTTACACCAAACACGAGATTGCGTGGGAAAACTCTAAAGTAATTACCACAAACAATCGCTACGGTCAAAGACTTTGCCTAGAAGCGTGGCATATAAATATGAGTAATCATGCTTTGAATAGGGATGACGGTGCCTATTTGCCAGAGGAATACATGCATCTCATTGGCAGGTGATGTCATCCCATGAAGTAAATTGAGTTTATATGCAAATGATGACATATATATGA